GTATACTTCGTAACTTAGCCATTTCAGTATACCCGTATAGCCCAAACTTACACTATTCTTAGTGTAAATATAAATTTTGTAGTATACCTTAGATGCATTATCATTTTTCTGTTATTTGAGCCATCACTTTTGATTTTATACTTATGCGAACACATGCAGGCACATATGCATACACAGGCAGACGCAATCACATGTTTCGAAGTTGACATATGACTTAAAACCGAATCACTATATGCCTCTTCAAAGAGCTCAGATACAGAGTATATATACAGCATTTTGGGATGAATCGGTGACTTTTCTTGACTCGTTAGCTTGAATACTGTTGTAAGGTTGATATTCTGCTTTGATGATGTCCGTCATACGACGCACAAGAGCTTAGCACGTTTTCATCGCGTTAAAAAGAATGTTCCAATGAGGTCAATCGGTAGTTGGTCAAGAGGAATCCGCTGTCGTCTTCTCCTGGGATTGACCTTCGATTCTCTTCACCAAACACTTTCTCTCGAAATGAAAGTAGGCTTAGTAATTATGAAACAAGAGATTTTCCGAAACCCTACTTTTATTCACATATACCATTATTCTACCTATGATCAGATTGCATTTATATACTTCGTCCGTCTATTTGTCACCTCTAAACCAGGATCTAGGTCACTCTGAGCACCGTTGGAATTATCGTTTATTATCAACTAATTTACCATCAACCACTGCCACAAAAGCCTTTATCTATGACATTTGGAAGAGCTTGTCTGGCCTAGTTTGTTAACTTCTGGTTATCTTCTTTTCCATATACTTTCTACTTACTTTATCCTTTTATATAATTTAGGCATACTTGAAAAGTGAACCTAGTGCCAACATGACCGAAGATGATGAAGACAGTGGGAATAAAACAGCCGATTCTTCGGATGATAAGCCACTATACAACCGCGCAACTGAAACTTTTCTTTCACACTCCAGACTTTCTGGAGTCAAAGGCTTATCAGACCACACGATTCAAATTCCCCAACAAAAGTTCTCAATGCATTTTCGCCATACATCTGGACTAGAAATATCATCGAAACAGCCTCGACGACGGGTCTTGCTAAAGAAGAGGACTGAATGTGACTTCGCTTCTAAAGTACCGGCAGCAGCAGATCTTGACAGAGACCCAAACCCTTCTGTTGATCAGTTGAATTGTCAATTTGACACTATCAAGTCTACATCTCGATCTCCAATACGAATTTTACGCTCTCGGCGGATTCTGGAGGCTGAAATAATGCGTCTTGGTAGTGTTGCTAGACGTGTCTCTGTAGTAGCAGAGTCAAGACAACGGAGGCTTGAATTCACACTGGCCAAGTTACAACAGGCTGAGGCAGAAACGGACCGATTACGCAAGTTAGTGGTTCTCCTAATTATCTGGAATCTGAAGATAGTTTAAATGATTAGAGTGTTTGCTTTTGAATAAAGTAGTTGGCAAAGGTTTATTAAAAGCATATCTTAGAAATTTGAGGGCACAACCTATGCCGATTTGATAGGCATGGTTATAAAAGAATATGAGATATATTCACCCTATTTCGGCTGAGCTGATCAAGGACTGGTAGTTGAGTTTTTAAACAATGATATGAGTTTCCTTTGAATTTCACATATCCTTGCTTCCCCAAAAGGTGTTCTCGTCCAGAGTGGACTACAGTTTCGACCCCGCTTAGGTCCTGTCAGCACCCCGGCGGAAGTCTAACCATGGCAGTGCAGCACTTATTCTCGACACTACGCTCACATGGCAGATGCGAATTTCAAGGAAGGCCATATCACATTCTTTGATGTGATTGTCGATGAAACATAGTTATATCTGCTACTTACGGATAATTTCGAAATCATTATGGTAAACGAAATAGAAGTAATATCTACTCGATTATGAAGTAGGATCGTTTCGTAGAGCAAATATTTAATTCATACGGGAAAAGCTTTCGAAGCTGTATTTTAATTGACAAACATCCAAAAGTTTTGCGTATTTTTTCGATGAAATTTTAAAATAATAAATATAGAGAAACAAATTAAGCCCATTTTATTATGGTTAAATTATCGAATTAGTTTTCTTACCCAAGTATTGGTTTGACTTTGTTTTAGCTAGTTGCTCTTGGCAACAAGGAACGTACGTAGTCCTGTCTTCTCGGCCATAGGAGTTATTAATTTACAGCGTCAGACCGTTGTCTTCGTACGTCGTCAATAAAAGTTGTTATCATAGATATGAAGATCAAGATGGTGTGGCCGTCTCTTTTGTCGCAGTCTTTTTTAGTTTTATAGAGTTAATTCGATCTTCTTTTCGCAACTTGGTCGGAGCGTCAGGGAGACCTTGTGGGGCGTACCTAATCCCGTGTCTTGTGTCATAGTATTCATGATTTCCAGCATTTGACCATTGGCTGGGTACATTCCCAAACGTTTGCAATTCCGAAAATTGCCATCCTTAGCATAAAGTTTCCTTGTTTGCTCCAATGCAGGCGGCCTTTATGAGGCCCAAACATCTTCATATTTGGTTCTAGCTGCCTGTTGCAGAGCTTATGGGACATAATCAGCACTTCTCTATATTGCTGATCATGTCAATCATTTCCTGTTGCATAATAAAATCTAACCAGCTGTTTGTATTCCAGCGACCATTTCTATTATATTAGGGGATTTTTTTGTTGGATAGGCTTTCATTTCGTAAGAAAGTGCATGAAGAAAAGATTCGAAGGTCGATCTCAACAGAAGAAGACGGCTGATTACCTTTTTTACTGAAGCCGTTTGCTTTTACTACGACGTTCAGGTTGATGCAGTCTATAAAACATCCTCCTTTGTTTGGGGTGAAAGCGGGCTGAGCTCTCGTCCATCATATTCTGGACATGATCAAAGCTGGAAGTCATTCTTGTAGGAGTCTTACGTTAACACGTAAGTCTGGTTCTAGCTTACCTCTTATATAGACTTAATTAAGCACAAGAAAATTACTGGGGACAGATATTTATAGAATGGCTTGTTATTTCCTTTCATATTGGTCTTGTTACTTTTGCTCGAGTAAGCGTGCGTGTATTTATGTGTGTTGACGTCTATACGCTATACCGTCTTTAAATGATTGATTCAAAGAGCCAATGCCATGTTCTGATCATCAAGGCTTAATGACTTTATAGTGGGGCTAAAGAAAACTTGTGTTCTTAGTAGGATTTTTCTAGATAGGTGGCAATGATCCAATTGTGACATGACTCTCCATTTTGAAGGGAAAGTTGGTTGGAAGAAATTCGTGATGTGGTCTCACCGGAAACCGAAGAAGGATTATCGCGTAAGGAAGGCTGTTGAATTGTGCGAAGAAGCCCTCGGCCCATCTTCCTGCTATCTCGATGAAACTGTGCTAAGCTTTTGTCTGTACTGGGACAGACATCATCAGAGCAAGATTCTATAATTTACAAAATATAGCAAAATATACTAAACCAAGAGAAGAAGATGGCGGGCTACAACCCTAGTCCCTTTTTTATATACCTAAAATCGCGATTTTAATGAAGCCTCTCCTGATTTGGTTGACTAGCTCAACCTTACTCTAAATGTTTGCAAATGACTGAAGCTAATTTCCCCTACCGGAAATGCGTTCGATTGCAGATGTTTCATCACAGAAAAACTAGCGTGCGATCATCGCTTCTGCTTTTGTATATTGTGTGTATGTAATGCTCATGCCATGGTTAGTATGATAGTTATAGCTAGACACGAGGCTAATCCAAACTCCTCTTTCTCAGTGGCTCTTCCTGCACCCCCTCTATCTCTATTTTCTTAGGTCTATCCAACAGCCACAAAAAGTTCCAACTTATTTTCAACACTCGTTTATCCTGAACCTGACAGGTG